TAGCAAAGATAAAGGTAAGCAGAAAGCCCAGTGATTTGATCTCAACGCGATCTTACGATAGTCGCCAGCTTCAATGCTGTTAGTTTAATATTTGACCTAATTATGGCAGGTCAAAGGTCGAACTTTCTAGGAAATCATACTTTTCAGCTTTACCATGTACTTTCGAGACCATGCCCTGTGGGTACAGGAATTTGAACAAGCGTGTTCCTAGTTTGATTTGAGTACAATGGTGCCTATATTTTTGTTTTTAGCATTTATATATATATATATATATATATATATATGTATGTATATATATATATATATATATATATATATATATGTATGTATATATATATATATATATATATATATATATATATATATATATACATACATACATGACATACGGATCCGTTAAACAGTGACTGCCCTCCGCGAGTTCCACTGTATCGCCGGTTGCCGCCCGCTGTCCGCGCCAGACGTGACCGTAAAATGTCCCTCAGAAACCGCCACTACTCCGAAAAAACACAACAGGTTTTTAGTGTCAATAACGCGAAATAGATGTCCCATAGGCTACCGAAAATTTGGGCTCCGTTGAAAAATAAAGCGCCCAAATTTTCTAAGCGATATATTCTAAAAAAAACGTTTGGGGAGGGTGGATTATACCCCTTCCCGTTTTCAGGGCAAAGGATAGCATGATTTGTAGCCAAGAAAAGGAAGGCAGATCTCAAATGCGCAGCTTGCTCATCTTTTTATTTAACTATACTCCACCTACTACAACCTTTTTAAAGCATTGTACCGTATTTCCTTCCTGTCAACCTATAAACCTATGTTAATGCCAAGAATAGGAATGGTTTCAAGGATTTTCTATTATTTGTGTCGCTGAAAAAGTAAGTGTGGGAGTCCATCCCCTGCTTCATATACACAATATTTCCATGTCATATTTATAGCCCATGTTCTTGGCATCCATAATGCACAAAAATATCTCACCAAAGAACGTAGTACTTGCATAAATCAAGACACCATATAATCACACCATGGTATGGCTTGCTTTTCATGGGACACTAACTCAATCTACCAAGTGGAAATTGCTTTCAAGCAATCAACCAGCCTGCAGGGTGTGACAAATATGTCTGCAAGATGTTAAATTATACAAACGAATCCCACAACGAATTTTACTCAGGCGCTGTCCCAACAAAATGTTGCGAAATATGGCCAATTGATAATGTCTTTTTCAAAACCGAAATAAATTGATTTCACACTGATGCTGTCCCCAGTCTGCTGAGGTCTGCTGCTGTCTACTGAGGCCTAATGCTGAAATTCTACTGATTTCACAATGATGCTGTCCCCAGTCTAGTGAGGTCTACTGCTGTCTACTGAGGCCTGATGCTGAAATTCCACTATCAGCTATGAGTTGCAGTTAACTGAGCTTCTTCACATAACAAAAGAACGAATGCTAAGCACCTAAATATTCGGTCCCATGCGTCTCTCACAGCCATACGCACGGCACACATTGTTGGACGAGCAACCGTGTGCGATTGGAAATGCCTTCTCTACATGGCTCGACCAAAGTATGAAGTTAAAACCGCGCCACTCTGACAAGACTGGAGTTAGACACAAAGATAATAATGACGTCATCAGTTTTGAATGACCGTTACTACATCATACCGTTTTTGTCTACGGGAAACATCTTTAAAGTTGGACTAGATAAGTACTTTGCTTCTATGTTCCTCCAACAAACAAAGCTGATGCACAAACTACGCTTGACGATTACATGACGTCATGTAAGGTTCATGTGATGAGCTTAAGTCTTAAATAAGCGGTCAAGTTTCGTGTGTTGAGGGAACGGTGCAGTAAGGAAAAGGAGCATAACTGAACTAAAATGACCCTTCAAAACTTGAGAGATAGTGGAGTGCGCCCAGGAACTCTCCCCCACGCGGCAGCGCTGCAAACAGATTTAGGCTACCGAAACATATTTTCCTCTTTCACTGCTGTAATGCGTGTAATTTCATCGCAATCGACGTTTCGTGAAAAATATGTCAAGCACAATTTTGAACAATGCGAGCATTTTAGTCTCCTTGCACCAAAGGCAGGCACTCATATGAGTATCCCATGCTTGTGGGCGAGTGGACGCTTTGGAACTCGTTTAGATGTTGTTTGGATTAAAACCCTTTTGACCATTTTCATTTCATTTCATTTCATTTCGTTTCAGGGCTATGGGATGAAGGGAACGGATAACGGTTGGCTGGATTACATGCGCCTGGGGGAAGGGGGGGGGGGGGGGCGACAGTCGAGGTTTAGCCCGCGCAGGAACCCCTAGGAGTGTGTGCTGGGCGCCCGGTCGAGGTCTCCCATCCCAGGAATGCTCTCGGCCCACTCATGGGTGGTGCATACAGCCCGCCCCGGAAAAGTGGGACGTTCCGAGGATGCAGGATACAGCAAAAAGAAGACAAGGAGGTCGGATGTTTTTTTATCCCTATATGCTTTGTGCTACATAATAGAAGACACTATACCTTCTTACTAGTTAAAACGAAAATAACACTTGCAATCGAACAACTTAAGAATATAGCTGTAACTGGGTATATGATGCAAGAAAACACATTATAGTCATAGATACATTTGCAAGAACACCACGACAAGGGGCCGAAACATAAGCACATAACGATATTTGGCTCCGCGAACACTTTCGGCCCCCGCTGCCATGTTCCGGAAGATTGAAGACCTACAAATGAGAGCTGTGATAGAAACATTCCATGACACAATCCGACAAAACCATGTTGAAGAGCATATTTACTAAATCGAGAACTTTTGCTGTCTAGAGCAACCTTTTCCGCTTAAATCTATGGCAATAGCTATATGTGGGCTCACGTAAGTTGTTAAGTACATTTGCCAGGACCATCATGAATTTAGATAAGGCAGTACCGTTAGCCTTATTTCTCGCGGAATGACCAGAAGAGAGGAGATATAGATGCATTGATATTTTGGACGCATGCCTTTACTGAAACGACGTTCAGTAAAACATTCCTCGATATTCGTTTCTATAAAGGCATGTTACCGAAACACCACTACACTTGTCTCTCATTTCTTCTGGCTATCCTACGATAAGCAAGGCCAGCAACGCTGTCTGATTTAAAAACGAGCCCATTTCATCATATATGATGCCTGCCTCAATATCCTTAAATGTGGAAAATTCCCTTTAAGGTGTACTCCAGTCTGTTCTTAAGGACGTCAAGACTAACCCCATCAGTGGCGAACAGTCAAGATGCGGGGCATCACCAGCGCATGAAGTGAGGTGGCCATGGGTCAGGCATTCGGATAGGTCATAGCTGAACCAGATGAAAAGAATCGGGCCAATAATTGATCCTTGGGACACACAGTACAACATCTGAGAGTTAGCTATGCACCCCGCATAATATGCTAACGACAGCTCAGGTATCTCTCAAACCAACCAACGAAGGCTACATTACACCAAAGCTCTTGGCGGAGAGGATGTCATGGTGGACGGTGTCCAACGCCCCCGAGAGATCGATCATCAATCCATCGTCGATGTTGGTAACCGGGCGCTCTATATCGTCGAATGCGGTGTCCTAGTAGGCGTGTCATAACTTACACGCACTGGCATAGCCAGGGCTTCCCATGGAGGGGGATGAACTCACATCATAGGAGTCCTTCAAGCCAAGCGGTCCCTCTCCGTCTTTCAATGGCCCTGCTTTTCATTCAGGAGGCTGTTCTATGCTTGGAGTCCTATTATGATGTCTTGGGGGGTCAGTTTTTACATTTCCTAAGCGCTTGAACTTGTTATAGTGACACAAATACCGGAGATCACCGCTCTAACGGGAGAGGATGGGGTGGGGTTGGGGGAACCGCAACCTCCAAGGGTAGGGCATGGCCTTACAAGTCCAGCCTGGTTACGTCACTACCCACACGCATACTGAGATGAGCTCAGTGAGCTGGTCAAGTGCAGGTGGCTGGTCAGTTGGCTGCAAGCTATCATTGCTGGAATCTTAAAGAGGTCGCTGAGTGAGGATATTGCCATCTTGTTAGACGGCACTGGATTTAGGGAACGGAGCCGCACAGGCTGTCCTCCATTGCTCAGGAAAAACACTGGTCGTGAAGGGCAGGATGGTTGGGTGCAAAGATGAATTCTAACCGCAGGAAAACACTAACGCGCACGCACAAGTGGCGCCTCGCCTCGCTTCCCTGCACGCGGGGTACTCACGCGACGACCGCTGAGGGACATCCGCAGCAGCGTCGCCGGCTTGAACTGGAGTTCTGCAGCGGAAACAGGGTGATGTAAGGCCCATGGCGATGACTGCACCGCGCAGATCGGCGGCGATACGAGGCCCAGCTGCGGCGAGGCAGCGGCTTAGCTCGTCTGCCACTGCTGCAGCCTCGTTCGGACTCGCGGCAAAGCTGCCGGCCGGCGTCGGTGTAGCCTGGAGATCGGCTAGAATCGGCTAGAAAGAACGGCCGCTGCTCGTTGCCATCTCAACTTGCAATAAATCATAACTGCTATTGGAGACATGAACCAGTAAACAAATGTATCCGATTTGCTTAGATGGTTTTTATGAATTAGCCCTTGAGATCAAGACCGAAAGTATAGTTCATCATAGACTGGAGCGTCTCGCCAAATGCACTGAAATTTCACCCCTGCAGCCAAATCTCGTGTAGCCGTACGAACTAACCGGATCTAAAAGGGTTCAACCGCAGCGTTCAACCGTCCACGGTTAGTTCTACGCGGTCAACGCCATCAAGAGGCCAACCATAAAAAGACCAGTCATGATCTATCCATTAACGTGGTACAACCGGCTCCGAGAATCCCTCCATGCGCTGGCCAGCGTTCGGCCGCACAGCACTGTGCACATCGCACGGGCCCCAAAGACCTCTAAGCACGGCTTAATCCCGGGTGCGGCCCCACTAAGCCGCCGGACGCCACTGCGCTGCGGCCTGGTGCGCATGCGCCGTGCGCCGCCGCCGGGGCCGCGCCGGGCGAGCTGCGCCAGTGAGTGTTGGCCGTGAGAGTGCGCTGGTCGCCTCTCGCGCCTCTGAGTGCAGTGCATCGGGAGGGAGCCGTGCGCCGGCCGCCGCCATGCTGCAGTATTACCCGATGGGCGCGGACGGCGCCGCGTGCGAGACGGACCGGCTGGTTCCGAGTCTGTCTCCGCCGCTGGATATCATGATGGATACCGTCCCGATGTACTATCCGGACCGGACATGCCCCCAGGTGAGGCCTCTCCGACGTACTGAACGGACACCTCAGGCGAGGCCCCTCACTGTATTCCCCGGGCTGGATTTGGGCCAGGTGAGGCCCCTCCCCGCCACCAAACTACCCGGACCTGTGCTCACCCCAGTGAGACCTCCCACCGTGCTATACCTTGACCGGTCTTGCCTCAGATGAGGCCTCCCTACTGCGTTACTCGGGCCGAAGCCGCCCCCAAAGTGACGCGTCGTCGTCGTAGTATCCATGTTGAACTTGCCTCAGGTCATCTTCTCAGGTCAAGACATACCTTCTTGCAAGGTCTTTATGCACCCCTGATGCGCACGGATGTTTTCCTAGAGGCGTAGTTCCCTCTGTCCTACCCGAGCTGGATCTGTCTCAGGGTGGTTTGCTAGCCTCACCGGATTTTGCCTTCGCGGAGGTCTAATACTGTTGCGAGATGAAGTCCAAAGCTAAAGACCCGTCCATAGCTTGTAATCTCCATCTTTCTTGCTTCACTGGACCTGTATCTGCGCATAGGAGCAACCCCAACAACTTCCCCAATCTGTGAAGCCTCCCACCATACGTGGCGGATTATGCCTGCTCTCAGCCCCGGCCTCCTTGGCAGGGGCGTCGCTAATAGGTGGGAAGCCATGCCCCTTGACCCCAGCATGCTGTCCTGACGGCAGCAAGAATTCCGTTGTTGAATTGGTTCATCCACCCAAATTGTAAGCTTGCCACCCCCGCACCTTTAGATAACCATTTAACCCCAGCAATCGTCACCCCCTGGAGATCACACTGCTCCCCAATACACCTGCTTATCCGACCGAATCCGTAAGAGGGGTTGGGGGGGGGGGGGGGCAACTCTCTGTAGCGTTGCAAGGTCAGCGTGACCAAACCCGCCTTTCAGCGCGACATTTTGGCAGCCAGACAGCGATTCACGGCCGCGCGGTGGCGATGCTTTCTCTCGGAGAGGCTGCACCTCGCGTCATGTCCAGCCTGTTCGCATGTGCATCGGGCATCTACCACGCGCAGGCAGGAACATCACACACATCACATTATTCGCACACAGATAGCCGGGCGCAGGAAATTGTCACGTGCCTTACGATCCAAGCTTAGGATGAAGATCTTAAATTGAATAAATTGTCCAATGCTCATTAACGGCTGGTGTTGGTGCATCGCCGATATATGTTATTTAGAATACGAAAGCTCTGGAGGTCTGCTGCCCCAGTGTTTTTAGCGGTGTCCTGCGCGTATCAGGCTCTCGATCACAGATGGCGTCCACAGGTCGTGACGCTCAGACGCTCATGACGCGCAGTCAGTCAGCGCCCCTCCAGACGTGTCCCGCAGGTCAGCTGGTGGGGACGTCCCCCCCTCAGCTCGACAGCACTGGGCCGATGCTTGCCTCCAGCCCGACAACATGCTCGAAAACACTGGCCCGACGTTTGCCTCCAGCTCGACAATATTGGCCTGACGTTTGCCTCCAGCTCGACAATACTGGCCCGACGTTTGCCTTCAGCTCGACAGGACTGGTCCGACGCTTGCCTCCGGCTCGAAAACACTGGCCCGACGTTTGCCTCCAGCTCGACAATACTGGCCCGACGTTTGCCTCCAGCTCGACAATACTGGCCTTACTCTTGCGTCAGGTCGACAGGTTTGGGCCGATGCTTGCCTCCAGCTCGACAGCACTGGTCCGACGCTTGTCTCCAGCTGCCTGCAATATCGAGAAAAACCATCATGCAACCCGAACATTAGGGGAATCGCGTGAATGCCTGCTGACACTTGGAGACACGAACCAGGAAAGAGGCGAACAGCATCTTGTGCTCTTCAATAAATTTCTGTCTGTAATATTGAGGTTGCCTGAAGCTCGGAGGCGAAGAGAATGTTTTGCATTATGCATGCCTTTTGATGGCCAGTTTTCTCAAGCTGCATCCACGCCGTGTCCAGCGCAGAACGGCTTAATGGTCCTCTGGATGTAACTGATGTAACTCGTGATTTCTGAGGATACCTTCCGACTCTCCCAACTCATGAATGACGGCTGAAGGCTGCATAACTGCGGCTCGTCTAGCTTACGGAAAAGTTGATAAGGTTATTGGCTACAACGCTGTGATGCCACAACCACAGGGCTAGCATGGATGCAATGAAGCGCTGGAGATAAGGCCGACCTCCTTAACGGTCCATTGGCCGAGAGCGATGACGCCAACCTCAGAGTGCATGTTCTGCAGACCCAAGCCCTCTGAGTCATTGGGAGGGGAGGTTGAACGTGATTCTTTACCTCGTTTCGCTCCACGCAAGGCCAGAATTAGCACTTGCAAATGGGGCATGGTGACTGCCGTCTACGCGGCTCCCTATTTTTCATTGCTCGGCGGCTGGAGCTGACGTCAGCCCGGGAAGGATAGTGCGCTAGACCTTCCGGTTGGATGCAGCATGCCCAGGGGCTTCGATGGTGTTCCACTCAACGACATGCCTCCTTTGGCAGACGGAACTGTGCTTCTCTGCCAGACTGAACAGCCTGCGTTTACAATTCCTTCGATGGGAATAACGTAAAAACCTTGACGATTAAGGACCACGTTCCAAGCCAGCATTTCACTGCATACGTGGGTACGTGCCTATACTACAGGTATTGAATTAGTTCCCGCTGAGCCAACCTTTTTGTACGTATTCCCACGAACTTGGTCTTATATTGTATTTTTATCTGGTGCTTCTCTCAAACTCCCCGCTTATCGTGCTTAAACGCCGCATTTTGCTCAACCAGATTTCCCTTGTTTTGTCCACTTTTGCCAGAAATGCTTGTCCAGCACACTTTACGACCAAATTCCTTTCGCAGCAAATGAAATGAGAGGTCAGATTGCTTCATGTAAAAGACGAGTTATTTAGATGCTTTGTACAAAAGAGAACATGCTATTTTGAAGACCGCAGTCTTACTATGCAGGCTGTGGGTATCTGTTTTGGGTGTGTCGGATTCGGCTTAAAATTTTTGTTTTCTGGCTTGGTCTTGGAGAACTGGATTTCTTTAGCTAAACTACACCTTTTGCTGGACCCTCCCATCGAGCTCCCTGATCAACAAAATCAACCGGTACTTCCAGTCCAACAGGATTGTGTCTGTTTGTGACATGAACATTTCCCCGGTAGGCCTCACGACCAAACTGCCGTCATAACGAGTGACATTGGTGCTCTCAAACCCTAAGGTGGAGAAAATTTGTCATCGAAATCACTACATGCTGTTGGAGTCCCGTCAGTTTCAGCCTGAGTGCACACCATCACTGATGTACCGCTATCGCCGCAAACACATATCTGCAACGCTTTGGTGCGGATTGGTTTGGGTCTTTTAACATCTGGTGTGATTTGGCGGCGGCCAGTGCATGTCTGGCGGCGACATTGTTTTGAAATCTGATCAAATTCGCTCATTTATTTTATGCCTTGATGACCCGGAGGCAACTTCTGGTGTCATGCACCTGCATGCGGTTTGGGCTGTCCAATGCAGCCTCTTTGGACCAAACAAGCCCCAAGACAAATGTCTAAGAAGCTGGCTGTCAGCACAAGCCGGACTTCAGACCAGTGTCAGGATCTGCACTGTGAAAAGACCGCTGATGAGTGGTTCGTGCAGATGCACGGAGATTTTGCAGTAATCCTGGTCCGGGCCATAACTCCTGCAATTATTCACACAATAGAAAAGTTCGTTAATGAAGCAGAACATAACACACCAATGAGAGCCGGTCCTCGGCCCAAGCTCACCCGAATTTCGCGCCACCAATGGCTTGGGCGCGTCGTCGGCTGGCGTGTTCGGCTGGTGCTGCGGCAGCGTCGGGCTGGCACCGGCCAGACGGCAAGGCAAGGCGCGTGGGCCCCGACCAAGGGCCGCGTAAGAGTCCCCCTGGGAGGTCTACAAGTCCCGACTGTGGGCGGTGTGAGAAACCCCCTGCGGACGCCACACGTCCCCGACCGTGGGCGGCATGAAAGTCCCCCCGCGAGTGCTACACGTCCCCGGACGTGGCGGTGTGAGAGTCCCCCTGCGGACGCCACACGTCCCCGACCGTGGCGGTGTGAGAGTCCCCCTGGGGGGCGAAACGTCCCCGACCGTGGTGGTGTGAGAGTCCCCCTGCGGGTGCTACACGTTCTCGACCGTAGCGGTGTGAGAGTCCCCCTGCGGGTGCTACACGTTCTCGACCGTGGTGGTGTGAGAGTCCCCCCTGGGGGCACTACACGTCCCCGACCGTGGCGGTGTGAGAGTCCCCCTGCGGGTGCTACACGTTCTCGACCGTAGCGGTGTGGGAGTCCCCCTGCGGGTGCTACACGTCCCCGACCATGGCGGTGTGAGAGTCCCCCTGGGGGCACCGCACGTCCCCGACCATGGCGGTGTGAGAGTCCGTCTGCTGGCGCTACACGACTCCGACCGGGAGTCCCCCTGGGGGCACTGCACGTCCCCGACCGTAGCGGTGTGAGAGTCCGTCTGCTGGCGCTACACGACTCCGACCGGGAGTCCCCCTGGGGGCACTGCACGTCCCCGACCGTAGCGGTGTGAGAGTCCGTCTGCTGGCGCTACACGACTCCAACCGGGAGTCCCCCTGGGGGCACTGCACGTCTTCGACCGTAGCGGTGTGAGAGTCCCTCTATTGGCGCTGCACGTCACAGTCCCGCTAGCTCCGCCCACTTAAGTCGATGACGCCGCAGCACCGTCGCCCGCGTTGGCTCCGGCCAAATTTGGGGCCGCCAGGCGCGAATGGCGCGAACCCAGTGGCCCCGACCACTGGAGATTTCTAGTGACGCTGGCAGGCGCGCGCTTGGCTTACCATGGGCAAAGTGAGATCAGCCGGAGTTGAAGCGTCAATTTGGTTTTGAAGGTTGCGTATTATGCGACAGCATGGTGCCTTATGCATGGTGCTTTTGTGTAATTCTGAAAAAAATTGTCTGGGGGCATTTACAAGGCATCATTCGATACAATATTAGAGAAGTGACAGAATTTCATTACATTGCCAAAAATGGCAAACACCACCTCTCACCAAACAATTCAACACACGCGTCGGTCGCAGACATGCTTGCAGAAAGGGCTTTATCAAGCACTGCGTCCCAGTACGCCCCAGCATCGACATTCTCAAATGTACCGTACTTCCCGGTGATAATGAACAATCTATCTATGCGACACTTTCCGCATTTCAATCTCAAGACAGCCACACACACACGCACACACGTGCACAGAGCCCTTATGATCAGTGACACGCGTGTATAGTCATCTCACCCTACGCTCTTACCCACTCACCGTGTGTCGTCAGGCCGGCGACGACATGACGGCCTACCTATCGAAGCCGAGCTGGCCGCCGCCGATGGAGCCGCCCGAGCCAGGCGACCTCGACTCGCTGCCCGACACGCTGCTCGATGAGACCATGTCCGAGCAGCCGCGACGCGAGTCAGCCTCCCAGATCGACGAATTCTTCTCGGCGGCCGTGCGTCGTCGCTCCTCGTACCTGGCCATCCTGACGGCACTGCATGCACGCGAAGACGACGACGTCTTCCAGAAAACGGACCTCGAGAACGAGTCGCCGTCGGCCGAGGACGTGCTGGCGCTGCTGCAGTATGAGCGTACACTCTCAGTACCGACGCTCAAGGGCGACCAGCCGACACAGGGCCGCGGGCCGGGATGCGGCTTCGCCAATTTCGCACCGCCAGTTCTTCCTCCTCCCCCTCCTCTCCCGCCGCCGCCGCAGCAACAGCAGCCGCCGCAGCCGCAGCCGCAGCCGCAGCACCAGCATCAACGTCAACAACAGCAACAGCAGCAGCAACAGCAACAGCAACAGCAACAGCAACAGCAACAGCAACAGCAGCAGCAACAGCAGCAACAGCAGCAGCAGCAGCGGCAACAGCAGCAACAACAACAACAGCAGGAGCATCATCAACGTCAGCAGCAGCAGCAACATCAACGCCAGCAGCAGCAGCAGCATCAACGCCAGCAGCAGCAGCAGCAGCAGCAGCAGCAGCAGCAGCAGCAGCAGCAGCAGCAGCAGCAGCAGCAGCAGCAGCAGCAGCAGCAGCAGCAGCAGCAGCAGCAGCAGCAGCAGCAGCAGCAGCAGCAACAGCAACAGCAGCAACAGCAGCAACAGCAGCAACAGCAGCAGTTCCAGCAGTCGCAGCCCCCGCCGCAGGTGTTTGCGGCGGCGCCCATGTTCGCGCGGCCTGACTGCTACCCCGGCCGGTACTGCCTGCCGCCGACGCCGCCGCACTCTGACCCCGGCTCGCCCGACGGCCGCTCGCCGCCGCCGCCGCCGCCGTACTGCCGGCCGCCGCCACCACCGCCGCCGCCGCCGCCACCGGCCTGGATGACGCAGCACCTGCTGGTGGTGGGCGCGTGCCGGCCGCCGGCGGCTGCGGCACCCACAGAGCGGCGGCGCTACAACCGGCGCAACAACCCCGAGCTGGAGAAGCGACGCGTACACCGCTGCCACTTTGTAGGTGAGTACTGCACACGCCTGCCTCGGCGGTCGTGGTGGATGGGCAGCGGGGGCTGGGGGACCGGTTGATGGATGAAAGACAGCCTGGTGATCCGGAGCCTAGGAAACGCACTAGGAAACGTCGCACATGGAGGCGCCGGTTTGCGACCAGGCTGAAGTGAGCGGGAGGAAAGGGATCCTGATTATGGCAGCTGGCTTCGGCAGCCTCGTGTCACGTAACGGGCATGCTTGTATTCCGAATGCGGTAAATTTATTGTGATAAATTGCGTGAGTTGTCTTCTGCTATTGTTTCGATAAAGGCATGTTGCCGAAATATCGACCCAACTACATCTCCATTCTCACGGTTTCTCCCGAGGAATAAGGCTATCACTACTGCCTTATCTAAGCGATAACTTACATTTAGCTGGAAATGCCCTGGATATGTGGAAAAGTCTATACGCATATTCCATCCTACAGCATTGTCAGCAATCTAATGCATCGTAGGGCTAGTTATTTTTAGCCGGTGCTCCAATTTCGTTGCACTGATTCACTATAAGCGTGCCAGCTATTACGCACTGCGGTCAAATGTGACAAACCAAGCCCATGAATTTCCCAAAACCAACAACAAACAGCAAATCGGGCGTTGTTGATGCATGCATGTAAAACCGTTTCCTATTGTTCTCACTTTGATCTTCGAACACTTTAAAAATGGCTTTCGTAATTTAATTGCTCTGGTGTACGGGAACGTGAAACCTTCCAGTTGCATCGCACTGTGCACAACTGTCAGCTGTGTGCATCGCACTGTGCACAACTGTCAACTGTGTGCATCGCACTGTGCACAACTGTCAGCTGTGTTCATCGCACTGTGCACAGATTTGTCAACGATTTAGTCTGGCCCAGACTCCTCTCACATCACGAGGCATAAGTAAATCTAACGACAAGGCAGCGCCGCTTTATGAGTGCAACACACTGAAGGCAGCTGAATTCTGGATTGTCACTGTCACGTCTGGGTTGTCACTGAATGTCACTGTCACACCTGTCTGGATTGTCACTCTTCCACGAGCAATCCGCAGTAGTCCTCGCAAAAATGCCTGCCTCTGCAAACAAACCTCCATGCACATCAACGACGGATGATCAACGCCGTTCTCTTCCGCAGGCTGTACGAAAGTCTACACGAAGAGCTCCCACCTGAAAGCTCACCAAAGGACCCACACAGGTGAGGCGTCGCTTGCGTTACGCAATCCCATTTCCGCATCTGACTGCCGGCGCTGATTGGGCGATCGGCCGGGCGGCTCGATAAGGGCGGCGCCGCGCCGAGCCGGGCCGGCCGGCCGGACGCTCGGCCTGCCGGCGTGCCCGCTACGCCTGTGTCGTCAGAGCACTGATAGCGCTACTACAGCCGGCGCCGGCGCGGATAGCAGCGCACATTTGGACTTTGTTTGAGCGGCTGTGCGATAGTGCGGTGCACACCCCCCGCACCGGCCCCCACGCGGAGATACACGAGATAACTGCAACTATCTCAGCGTGGTATGAGGTGATGCGTGATCGGCCTCCTGATTGGCTGGCACACTTGCCACCGGCCTGTTGATGTCAGAGGCTCGCGCGCAGCAGCCGCCTGCTCATGTTGTGCAGACACACGCTGAGGTAGGTGTGTGCGAGTAGCCGCTCGTCGCCGACCAACTATCACTGCCGGTGGTTACGGCCAAACCCTCCGACACGCCATCTCGCCGGGCCCGCCGAATGCGAGAGGCGCTCAGAGGGAGCATGCTGCCCGCCGACGGCCGCTGTCTATACCGCCGCACCGCGCCGATAATATTGCCCGCCAGCGGCCGCCGTCCATAACGCCGCACCCCGCCGCCCCTGCTGCCCGCCGACGGCCGCTGTCTGTACCGCCGCTCCCCGCCGCTCGTGCTGCCCGCCGACGGCCGCTGTCTGTACCGCCGCTCCCCGCCGCTCGTGCTGCCCGCCGACGGCCGCTGTCTACACCGCCGCACCCCGCCGCTGTCGCGTCACACCGACAGTCGACTTCTGGACTGACATGTCGTCTGGCACGCTCAGAGCGGCCGCAGCTCGACGCCGCCCACCGTCGCCTTCAGCGGCACCGGATGCACCGCCAACCGGTTGTTTTGCATGGGGATCGGCGAGCGGTCCGGCGGCGCCGCGCCCGAAAACCTCCCACGTTGCCGACAACAGCGAACACTGGGCGCTGCCCGAATCTCATTGTCTAGGCCTTACGGTCAGGCCGCGTCTGAGCAGCAGGTGTTCGGCACAATGAACCCACACAGCAGTCATTCTGCATGTGGACACGTACACCGCCCCGGCTTCACTGCAGCATGATACACTTACGTTCATTGCATGACGTCGAGCGGGACATGGGCATGAACATGGGCATGGCGTGCGGTACCGTCCAGCGGTACCGCAACAACGCTCATGCGGAATGGCAGAAAACAGAGCGTCCCGGCCAGTGCGCAGCACTTCCATCCACATAAGGGTGGAGGTCGTAAGGTGAAGTCGGTGTAACAGGCCGCTGCACACTGCCCGTGCGGCTAACCGATCCACTGGAGAACAGAATTTGCCATCGAAGGCATGCTGAAGCCTTCGACATTTCCGAAGTTTGTTTGCATCATTGAACAAGCTCGAGTTTACCTCCTCGGATTTTCTGAACCTATTGATGAGGTCGCAGCGACATCTTAAGAGTTTAAAAGATCACAGATCAGACAGTAGTGTTGGCCTTATTCCTCGAAAAAACCAGGAGAATGGAGATATAATTGGATTGATATTTCGGCAACATGTCTTTCTCAAAACAATAGCAGAAATTCCACTCCATGGCACTCCACGGCACTTCTTCTGCTATTGTTTCTAGAAAGGAATGTTGGCGAAATATCAACCTAACTATATCTCCATTCTCCTGGTTTTTCCGAGGAATAAGGCTAATACTACCGTCTCATCTGTGTGATTAATATTCCTCGCTAATGCACTGAGCAACTTACCAACCCAAAAGATCCGCTGTTTTTCCAGGACCACGTCTTATCACTTCGTGTGTTTTTCTGCGACGCATTTGAATTTCATTCATAGAAGTTCATCGACTGGATCGCCAGTTCGCCGTCAGCGAAAATTTCTTACAAGCGTGTTTCGTTTCTCTCCAATGAAACAAACGGATAACCAGTCTAGCGTGACCTTGACGTGCTCCAGTAATTTTGCGATTCTGTTCCCAAGGAGGCTGCTCAGATGCGGGCGGTGCTTCCAATGGAACAGCGAAAGGGGACGTTACAAAACACTTTCATCTTGGCGAGATTGCTCAGAAATTGCTGATCTCACGGCAGCCGTCAACAGGCCAATCGAGACTCCAGTTTCCCGGCACACTGACACGACCTCCCAGCTGCGGTCCGCACTCCGCGTCACGGGCAGTCAGCAGCGGTGGCTCTGCGTTATCGTGCGGCGGCGCCGCGGCCGACCGGGGCGACCCCACGCGCGCACAGGCCGCTAACACCAGCCGGTACTGACGTCACTGGCTGCCGTCCAGCCCGGCCTGGCCGGGCCAGCCCGGACGGCCGGACAATGGCAGCGGGATGCGTCACGACACGGGCCGAATTAAAGCTCCGTGCCGTCAGCGAGCAGCGACGCTCGCATCACTTGACGCCAGCGGTCGTGACGGGGATTCCAATCAGATTCAGGCTGCGCGAATTTTCTGACAAGAACTTGCCCGGGTATGGCGCGAGATACGGACATGGGCTCTGATGTGGCGCCCGACAACATGCCACGGCGATTTATTTTTGGCTGCCTGCTGAGTGCTGCGGAATGATGAGTGGATCAGTGCCAGTACTGAGACCCCCTCAGCATCACCGCGACACGAGCAGCGTGGTGAGCTTGGTGGCTTGTAACGTTGTGGCCAAGCAGCCGGCTGCCCCGCGAAGCCTCCCGTGCCCCGGTGTCGGACCGCGGCCGTCCAGCGCGCTGGCCGCCGCCTGATGTGCAGTGGCGACCTCTGAATCGCCACAGCTCACCGAGTCCAGGGTCGGCGACGGGCGCGTCACTAGCCAGCCCTCCTCTGGCCTTGATGGCACGGCTTAAAGGGGCGGGTGTCGGCTTTTAGGGCGAAAGTTAGTCAGCACACAGACGCATCTAAACCACGAGGATCTTATCTGGAATGTAAAAACAATTTTCTCAAGTTCCTCCTTAACGCCAGCTGTTCTGATTTCTCCTTCACAGCAGCGATTTTTTCAACATTCGTCAAGTTGATTTTTTGCTCATCACTGAAACATGCTTTGCGCACCAATGCCTGCGTTAGCTTAGCGCACAGTGAATCAACCATCTGTCTAATTTGATTTATATCTCTTGCAGTGCACTGTACATGACATTTTGATGGTTTTCTTCAGTATAAAAGCTGAATTCAGCTCATTATGATTCAACCGATCTGCCTCAGATGAAAGCGCAATACCGACAGTCTGAAGTTGCGTTCGCCTGGGTTTCGCCTTCTTTTGCCTTGGTTTTGGAATATTATTTTTCCGTTTTGGTCAAACTTTATCATTTATATCCGTAAGCCATTCCAGAAGCATCAGGATATTTTAAATATACCTTTTATTGGTTGCTGGGCATTTTCTTTCAGTCAGTGCCCCGACATATTGAATGTCCATTACTTTCAGATTCCTCAACAATCTAAAAAATCCCAAAGCTTAACAGCCGTCTTTTTACATCAAAATGGGTTGTCATCATTTCCTTTTGTTCATTTTGGATGCTCAGCTAAGCCCTGTTTTCCTGCAGAGTTTGTGTGATAGCCCCTCCCTCCGGGGAGCACTATGTTTTCATCCGTGACCGAGCCGGTTGGAAGCTGCACATGACTGCCCGTCGATGACCAGTGACACGGCACTGTGTGCGGAACAGTGGTCGGGCTACGAGGCGAATCTTCATAGCGATCACCAAATGCTGTGCTGATGTTTTCCATAAGGACAGCTGATTAGAATAAGGCTGACGGTTAATTGATAATTTGTGATATTTGAAAGAAGTAATTAACAAAATCCCGGGACGAATTGTCCAAAGCAGTTGTGAGAACCGTGTCTTAACTATGAATATCATGGAGCAACTGCTCATCCTTCGCTAGCATCGACTATTTGCTAGCTACAAAAATTTGCGTTTAAATATACCATTGAGGCATTCACATTTTGTAACAGCGCGCAATGACTAGCCATGAAGTGCACCTGCGATCAAGTCCTTTTGTGACGACTCAAGGTCACTCGGGCGAGTCCGAGATCGTCATCAGTCGTGCGGAGCCCACTCAACCGCAGTATCAACATGTGCACCTGACTGAGTCACTGAGCATCAACATGTGCGCCTGACTGAGTCACTCGTAAACTTCGAGACGGATTTAGCTCTGCCGACCGCGGACTCGTCACCGCCAGCCCCTGAATGAACTTGATCGAGGGCTGCGATGGAGAAGCTATTGTTTTGTGACACTTTGACACAACAAAGCACTTCCCAGCCTAAACGGATACTACAAGGGTGTACTCTTGCATCACCGTGGAGGCTAACATCCGGCCTGGAGCTTCAGTGAGCGGTTATTAGAGATCCGCTGGTTTGTGGTTGGCCCCCTGCACGGAGTCCGTGGAGATCAAAATCCTGTTATGAAACGGAACTCGCAAACGTTCCGAGTAATTTTGCTGTTAAGACGTCCGTAAAGCTTTAAGAACGTGTAAGTTCATCAAAACCAGGATGTCTTACCGCAACATTAGAGGTAATCTTCATCTCCGTTGGCCATCCATCAGTGTGCTGATGCTGGCTACACTGAGTGCCTCATTAAAGTTCCGCTGCCTGTACGGGCTACGATTTGCAACATCTTAACGCAGAGGATAGGTCACAGCAAGCATGAGGCGAGCAATAGAGCACAGGGCGGCTAAACCTCCCTGACGTGCCACGATCCACATGAGTCCCGACTGGCGGGTGCTTACTGCGCGGCAGGGTGTCCCGGAAAGCCACACCGTCATCGGTACGTCGTCACGTGCTACACTCCATTACCAGGCTCCCTTTTTAAACTTTGATGATAAGGGGCGCGCGAATGCTATCATTACCCAGGCATGTGCCATTCGCCATGCCATTGGGCTTTACGATGCGGTCAGCTGCTGTGGTGATCCATCTGCGTCTTACCCTGGCAAGAGGAGCGGACACCGCGGGGGCTCAAACCCTAGACATCTGGCTCCTCAGACGCGCGTTTTAACCACTACGCTACCGGCAACCCAAATTTCGATAACAAAATAGAAGACATGCATAAGGCATAAAGCAACAAGTATGACAATGTAAACAATGAGTGCATAAAGCGATTGCATGCTTTGCTCACAGTGGCAATGGCTCTTGTGTGGACACACGTGCCGCACGTGCTTGAAGTGGGATGGTCTCTTCCGGACACATGCTTCGCGGAGTGTGGGTTTTTAAAATGAAGATATGAACTTTTTGGATACCGTGATTGAGGCTCTGCGGTCTTGCTCGTTTTTCTCCTTTGCCATTGCTTGTAGTCATTTTCTTACCTCTTTTTGTTTGGGTTTGGTTTTCAGCTCGTAGTGCAGTGCCACTTCATTCAGCTTACTACATTGGATGACATGAGCGATGATCATTCCATGCAGCTACTTTCCTAATCTTGTTACGCTGGGCTAAGAAAAGCCACGTTTTGTATGAATGATTCATATCGATATGTCAAACAAAGAAATATATGCAAATGAGTAAACGAACTATGAATGCTTAAATAAATAAATGGGGCACACTCTTCCGGACCTACCGTTGCGTGGCTGGGATGGCGCTATCTGGACACGCAGTTCGGAAAGCGAGACGGTCCCTGGCGTGAATCCGTCGTTCCCGGACACACGGCTCCCGGGGTGATACGGTCCGCGCTGTCCTGGCGTGGCGGTAGCCGCAACTGACCCGACGACATTCCGCAACCATGAGGCAGTAATACCCCAGCCCGCCGCCGCGGCTCGAAACCGCCTCCGATCCCCCACTGACGTCACTAACCCTCAACCGAGGCAAAACTGATGTAACCGCCTCCAATCCCCTGCTGACGTCACTAACCATCAGCCGGCGCGCGGTCTCCTACTGACGTCACTAACCCTCGGCCGATGCAAGATCCCCTGCTGACGTCACGTGCCCTTAGTCGGCGCAAGATCCCTGCTGACGTTACTAACCGTCAGCCGGCGCAATAACCCTTGCTGACGTCAGTAGTCCTCAACCGGTGCATGAACCCCTACTGACGTCATTAACCTTCGGCCGGCGCAAGATCCCCCGCTGACGTCACTAACCATCATCCCGCGCAAGATCCTCTGCGACATCACTAACCCTCAATCCGCGCAAGATCCCCTGTTGACGTCACTCAGCCCGCGCAAAACTGATGTAGCCACCTCGCCCGTCTGTTCTTCTCGGATAGATCCTTACACACCATCTGCTGCTGCAGTTGCCGGGATATGTCGCTTAAGCTGCGTGGTTTCTGTCAGAAAATCGATTGATGTTGGATTATGAAAGCATCCACAAAATACACGAAGCTCGTTCTTATCGAGCAGCGCAAATCGACATATCCTCCTGTTTATCTGAAATCATTAGAGCTGCATATGCACCGGACGGGGCCAGTATATCGGCCGGATCTCGCTGCAGACGAAACAGGGCTGCCGCGGCGTCACCTGTCTCAGCCGCTCCACGCGCGGCCCGCTATGAAGACCTCGCCACGCGGCCGCCGGCACGCGGCCATATTTGTAACCGTGTGATGCCGAGGCCGCTGCCAAGTTTTTACAAGTCTCGCGCTGGGTTTTGACGTGGAGGAGGGAGGGAAAACGTTTTGGGATGCAGCACATTACGGTGTCGGCGGCCGCTCCATATGGACGGCGTCGGTAGAGCGCTGATCGATGGAGGAGGCAGCGCCGCGCAGGCGTTCCTTTAACACCCAATTATTCTCTGGCCGGTTTTAATTATAATCCTCACGAGCGCCGACTGGAGAGGAACTGTCACCTTCTCGTCACGCAGAATAAAGGTCCGGCAATTAAGGATATTGCCATTTTGTATCGCTTATGAATAACGCTTTCGGTCGCCTCTAAAAATGAGCGGTGTGCCACTTCGAGCTGTAACTCCGGTGTCTCCGATCCAAGGTATCCGAATCAACGACTTCCGCTCCTTGAATGGCCCTGTCTTTCCAGATGACCCACCAACACTGTTCTCCGTTTCAGGTGAGAAGCCGTACCTGTGCTCCTGGGAGAGCTGCAACTGGAGCTTCGCCCGCTCGGACGAGCTGACCCGACACATTCGCAAGCACACGGGCGCCAAGCCGTTCGTCTGCAAGACGTGCCACCGGGCGTTCGGTCGCTCCGACCATCTGGCGCTCCACCGGAAACGACACGAGCCCAAGACGAAAAAGTGAGCCGGTCGTTCGCTCGTCGGCGCGGCAAGACGGGCGAGGCGAGAGGCGAGAGGCTCGCTCGGCCAGCGCCAGCGTCTGGTGGGCTCCAGCGGAGCCGCCGGCTGCCGGCCCGCTGTCGCCGCGCCACACCGGCGCGCGCCCGGCGCCGAACGAACACACAAACAATGCGCGTAGGCTTAGACATCCGGGGCGCGGTGGTATTTATGTTACAAACCCGCGGACAGCGAATTCGTCGCCGCTCGCGCTGAGCACGACCGCGCCGCCCGGAGGGAGCCGTCCAGCGACTGCAGGTTCAGCTCGACTGGAGGCTCTGTGCGGCTGCATGCTCTGCGCGGCTGCTGGTTTGGTCCGGCTGCTGGTTCAGTCCGGCTTCTGGTTCAGTCCGGCTGCTGGTTTGGTCCGGCTGCTGGTTCAGTCCGGCCGCTGGACACAGCCGCGCGTGTGACCGCGGACATGATTGCTCCAAGTGCCATACATGTGCCATTTTGTCATTGTCGCCATCATGACGTCGCCTCCTTCACAATGCGCGTCACGAGCGGATATCAAAAGTCCGATCGCGACGTGCTTACGCTGGAGGTCTATGCAGGCAGTGCCGGTGCAGGTGTTCATAGTGGTGCGACTCGCTGTGTCTCAGGAGGCCAGCGATGCAGGGGATGGGAAGGGGGGGGGGGACAGCAGCCAGCTCCAGTGACGGATACCCGTCACGGGCATCCGCCGTTCATCCGTCACGGGTACCCGTCACCGAAGGTCGAAGGAGCACTCTGGCTCCGTTGACCAGCGCTGGGTGTGTCTTCCAGCCATTGAATTCGTTCGTGCCCACAGGTCTAGCGAACATGCCCTATGAGTGGTCTTCAGGCTCTGAGCTCTTTCCGCGTGCGTATGTCCTGTCTTTTCTGAGTGTGGCCATTAGACATGTGTCAGCACTCCTTCACTTTTCTTCCGGGCATTCCTATTTCTATTCACCTGCCAACGGACATGGACGCGTCACAACAGCTGCCACCACCCTGTTCGTGGGAGGGACGCCCCATGTTGGCAAGCATTTATGCCAGTGGTGCCAAATGTAGAGTAGTTAAACGTATCCGTCCAAGTTGCGCTACTTACTGGGAGTGACTTTATTTGCATTCATTCATGTGTTGGATGCATGTGAAATTTTTGGTTCGATGCCCTACTGGTCACGTGCAAAGGAGGTACACACTGCTTTGGGACGCATCCAAGGAATCGGCCTTACTCCGGCTGTTATCTATTTTGCTGTGTACGTGTGAGCTCTAGTTAAGCTACATTGACCGTTGCCTTGTAAAGCTGTCATATGCTGGCACATTGGCGCTACGCGACATGGTACAAGCTTTATACAGCGTCACCGCTGTTTCTTCTAACGCAGTGCTGTGTCTGCAATTGCACATACCCCGGCTGACGTTGCCGAAAGTGAGGTGCTTCAGACGAAACGAAGCATTTGTTTGGAACTGGATAGGACTCGCACATGCACCCACGGGATAGTTCTGGACGCTAAACTCGTAAGCGGCTTTGATGACGCCGTGCACATGGTCTCCGACCCCCCGATGCCCGACGAGGTCGCTGCCATGGAAACTGTGCCCCAGCACCACGGTGCCGTTCCCTGGCCGGACAGGGCAGCACGGAGCGGTCAAGTTGCGGAGAAGTGTTGCTGTGACCCCGGTCCTGTCGTTCCTTCCGAAATCGAGGCTGTTTCGGTGCCGCTGGGCGAGAGTGCTGCGCGGCACCCACCGTGACCCAGGTGCGCTGGCCCGGCGACAGTGCTGCTCGGCACCCACCGTGGCCTGGGTGCTCTGGCCCAGCGGGGCTGTTTTCAAGAGTAGTTCCTTCCAGCAAGTTCGGCCAAGACACCGACACTGCATCCCGGCGACCTAGCCAACACGCGCAAAAGTCCATTCTGGATATATTCCAAGCGAACAGCCGCCCGCAAACGTCAGAGGTCCAGGTTACGTTGGGACGAAGCGCAAATTGGAGATAGGTCGGCGAGTGACCCAATCAGCGCGCCGCCGATCGCCTGACTTTCTGGCCCTCCAGATATCCATCCCACCACGACCAAGGTATACGAGGTCAGCTCCGCGGTAGGATGGTTGGTGTTGCCTCCGTCACTGGAAAGGAAATGCGCGGTATCAATTCTTCTGACATTCATGTTATCACATCTCGGTCACCCGAGGTCAGGTCCACGATGCCATCCGAGTCTTTCTCCAGCCTGCTGGATTCTGACTCACGCCTAGCCGACGCCTGGAATCACTGGGAGTCTGACACGCCGGAAGTCACTGGGAGTCTGACACGCCTGGAATCACTGGGAGTCTGACAAGCTGGGAGGCACTGGGAGTCTGACATGCCTGGGACCCCTGGGAGGCTGACAAGCCTGGAATCACTGGGAAGCTGATAAGCCTGAAATCACTGGGAGTCTGACATGCTGGGAGGCCCTGGCTACGTGCAAAACAGCAACCCATAGCGCCCAATGTCCGAAGCCGGGACTTCCTTTCTCCGAACGTCCAAACGCCGCATATGCATCCGGTATTCCTGGCGGCTGCCGCCGAGCGCTGCCGACACTGGGCGCCGCCTGGTACCTGGCACCCATCCCACACAGACGGCCATGCTCAGCAGGGCGTGATGAGACAGCGCACCCTGTCTCTGCATCCCGCCTGCATTTAAGCTAGACATCACGTCACTGCACCGCGGCGCGGCCGCCCACCTCATGTCAACCCAGCGTGCTGCGGGCTCTGGCGCCGGCGCCGGCTGTGGAGCGTTGCAGGCGACGACCCCTCGCGCGGGCGCTCAGCCACTGGCCCTGCAAACGCCCATCACATGTGCAGCCTAGTGAGATGATCGGCCCTGCTGCGCTGGCGAGGCGGGAGCCAGTCTGTTCGTTTGACACGTCCGTCCGTCAGCAGCAGGCGTGGACCACGCTGGTCGCCGCGTCCACGACTGCCTTCCTCGCGCCGGGAAGGGCTTCGCCGTCGTCGTGCCCCGCACTTCGCGTGCAAACGGGAACGAACCAGACATGAAGCTTACCCGCGCAGGGGACCGAGTCTAGGAAGTCCGTCGTTCCGCGCATCCAGTGTCGCATGCCGCAGCCGGTGGGAAGATCCTTTTATGGTGTAGTGTTGACAGCAGGAATACCAATCATTTAATGATGCAACCATATTTCCCTGGCCACTCTTCAGTTCTCGGCGTCACAGTGCGAACGCAGACGCGTTGTCGGGAATGGTGAGTCGCCTATAGACTCAAGAGCTGCTTTTCGGGGCTGTTATCCACAGAAGAGCGCCTATTGATCGCTACGGTCATCCGGAACCATGTTAGACGAGAAGTCGGCGACCGACCTGTTGTGAGCGACCAAGGAAATCCGTCACATTCGTTGTGTGGTGATATGTCATGTAGGTTAAGGAGCGTTTGGGCCGTGGCTGGTCCGTGCGGTGGCCCGGCCTGACCTGAATTCTGTTTAACTTTAAGATATGTTAGTCCACTGGCTGGTCTATGTGGTTGTTGGTCGGAGCAGGACTCTCAAATGTACGATTTCCGTGAGCAGTTAGCATGTATGCGATATCCATACGCAAGGGTGGTGTTATTATTTGTCGTGACAGTTCGGTAAGGACAGACAGGCATTCAACAGTCATTTTCATGCCTTCCACAACATGCATTTTAAAATATTTCGTGTTCGTGCACTCTTGCGAATGGCAATCACATCGTGTGACTGTACCTTATGTGCTTCTGGGGGCGGGCATGTCGCTACTGCGAATGACACTTTCTTGAACTGCTCACTTTTCGCCATGGCCGATTTGTTGTTGTTCCAGTCGTCCAACTCGGCTTTTCGCTGCTTTTGTATGAGTTCAATGCGGTGTGGCCTCGATAACCGTCCTGGTTATCGTGGGATTGTTGGGCCATGCAAGACAGGTGGGAGGTGCTTGTTACAAACGTGTTATGGCTCTGGTAGCTATCCGTCCACGTTCTCGCAAGTGTAAGACACGGACCTGAACGGGGTCGCCGCGATCAGCCCAGGAGTGGATATTGGCGATTTTACGCACCCTCAAGCGTGTCTTCTGGTAAACTTCTGGGAAGGAGAACAGTCGGTTCTGACGAACTCATGTCATGTTTTGGAGGTCATCTTTTGGTCCAATAAACCGTCGAAAATACTTGAATTTGTTGAACTGCTTGCTGTGTTTCAGAGCGCAATGTCTTTGAGGTTACTCGAAGGCATTGGGTGCATATTCCTACGGCAGGCGCTTTACACATAACTCTTTTACAAGCTGCATGTCGAGTCGTTTCCAACCGAACGTCACCATCATTTCCCCAAGGCCTGTAACGGCCTGTCAATCTCAGTGTTCATCCTTACCAATCCAAGCCGTGCACATCACAGAGTACGATACAGCTGACCTTGCACGGCGACAAGGTCAAGCGTACCCTCTCTCGACTTTCGTGTCAGTTGTAATGCTGCGCAGCGCGTCGCCTCACAGTCGCAAGTAGGTCGAGTGAGCTGCACTGATCCGAGCGGAACAAAATGGCCTCTGACTGATTTTTGACGTCTGCAAACTGGTTTCATTCGCAGTACCTGCTGGCTTCCAGCAACGTGCGGACGGGGGCAGCGACAAACACCCACTTGCGTCCGCTTAGCCCCAATTATCGACACTTCCACAAAATGTCTATTGGAATGAGGTGCACTCACTTAAATCAAATTTGGGATCAAAACTATTTGCCAATCTGCATTTGCACAAATCTTGGAAATCAGTCCCCCACAGCAACAAACATTACTTAAGCAAATTGTAAATATTGTGTCTTCAAATATTTTTTCACTGATGCTACTGGGTGCCCAAGAGACTACACAACTTTTGACAAAGAAGAAACTTGTTAGATATTTTATGCAACATGAGTGTAAAAGTCCTAACACGCATATAAACAGCTATTGCAGGAAATGTGGCTAGTTACTAAGTCAGCGAATAAGTAAAACTACATTGCACTTAAGGGCTCAGACAGGGAAGACGCTGGAACCCCATGCCACCTGCTAAGTCTCGAGGATACCGGAGGGGCCGTCGAGTCCGACGACCAAGATCCCGAAGGATCTGACGGGCTGGCGGGTAATGGTATCAACCCCCATGCGACCGCGGGGAAGGAGCTGACAGGTATGTCTGGGATTGCTTGCGTAACTACGCTAATTTCGAAATGGCTCAAATTATGCTATGTTTCTTTTCAAGCTGATACGAATCAACTTGTTGGGTATCGGATCAAGCCTCTTGTTTCAAGCATATAATCGACTTTTATGTGAGCGATATCGGGCGTTAATACATATGAGAGTGAGAGGCTAGTTCATCAGGAGTCCAGCAAGGTCAGACATGCCAATCGTACCACGTAACGGTATTTGTGGCACCCACACTTGCGGTAACGCTTTGCTGCGATCCACCGCATGAACATGACTTAAACCAGCGTCGTGCGACCACTTTGATGGATTGCTTGGATCAAGGTCTTGCTGGGTCGGAGTTAGGTAACATATGTAAGTACCGATAGCAATAATTTGAACTATGATTGGCAGAAGGGTGCTATATTGGTAATTGTGGTCAAAACATAGGTGGCTATATTATGAGAACAAAAAAATATAGTAGGCAAGCTCGATTGATCAAAGGTCAAACACAGATGCTCCGAATTATTCTCATCTGAAATAATTCTAAAAAGATACGTTCATCCGATGATCGTAGCACAAGTATCGGGCTGACAAAGCAATAAAGGCATAGGTGACCTTAAGGACCTAGTTCAACCTCGGAGGTCACTGAAAGGCTCAGCAAGAAACCAAGAGCAGTTGGACAGCGTGGAGGATGATCAACGCATCGGTCTGGTTTCGGTACTTTGCTTTGGAGCTCTACGAGGTGCGAACCAAAATTTCCTGATATCTGAACAGCGCACACAATCCGCATTTGGTTCGGCGTTCCACCACCAGGTGAAGCGAGCGGTACCCTTTGTGAAGCGGCACGTGAGTGATCGTCACGAGTGCCGACTGTACCTAATGTGAGCTACGTCCGTTCTTAACGTCTTTGCGAGGTGAACGTCTTGCCGATTCTGCAAAAGCGGATTATGCCGAGCAAAGAACCTGCATCAACTTTTGCTTCAAACCAAAAAGACAGCTACAGGAACTCGCCAAAGGCTTAGGACAGACCTGGGAATAATCCAACAACCCAAAGCAGAGCTTGTGGTACAAGAGATTTAAGAACGAACATCTGTCGTTGGCAATGGGCGTTCTAGATGGCCATCAACGAGCACACCACCGAAAAACGTTGCGCAAGTTTGTGTGGCTAGCCTTGCCGATAACTAGTCAAACAATTCATTGCGTTCGTTCGTTCATATGCGTTCGAGTTGTCGCGGGGGAGCGTACAATGCGTTGCGTCGGCTTTGATGAACACGAGACGCATCTCTGCAAAGTTTGTGCCCAGGCCGCTGAGTGGCGACCAGAAGGCCCATCGCATTCCTACCGGCAGAAGCCCAAAGGTCAAGTCAGAGATGATCGCAAATTCATTCTCGACGTCATAACTGGTGATGACTAATGGTTTCGCAGCTACAGCCTTTTCATCATCATGCGTAGGATAAACCAGTAGCGATCTCCCAATTTTCCGAGGCCGAAACATCGCATCATATTAGTAGCAACATCAAGCCAATTTTGAAAACCTTTCCAACATCTAAGGCATTGCACACTAGAGCACTCTCAGTTCAAGCTGACAGCGGGAGATTTTACTGCGAAGTTTTAAGGCGGCTGAGGGAGAGCATTTGCCGCAACGTCAAGAAAAGTAGGATAACAGACCAACGGCTGGTTTGTTCGCGATGATAACGTGCACACCCGCGCAAGCACGTCCTGCCCCCTCCCCGAAAAAAAAACAAGATGAATCACTTGCACCATGCACTCTTAATTCCGTCCAAGTTGTGTCTGAGCTATGGTGGGGTCTGGAGAAGCTGGGGGCTGATCAGATTTTCGGTGCGCTGAGGTTGACGCTAGAAGTAGATGGCAGTCGGCGACGGCAGTCGTATACTAGAACATGGACTTCCACCAATGAGCGGTCGACATTTTCCCAAATCGGTCTTCGGAATAGGTAGCGGTGGTCTACGCTTTGTCAGATCTTTGCATCGAGCACATACATGTTCGGCACAAAGGTGCAGGTCTGCTCACATGTGGCGCTGTCTTGTGTGTCTGTTGGGTCTTAGGCCCTGCCAGCGGTTAGAGGGGCGTTTTTGCTATCTCCAAACCCTAGCGCCTATTCCAAACAGCTCCGACGTAGCGGTGACATGAACTAGATTCTGAACTAGATGAACTAGATTATAAATGATCTAGATTCAGCTTCTAGCCCAGAACTGAATCACTGCCACTGCCAGTCATGTCACCGGCGAGACTTCAGCACTAATATATATATATATATATATATATATATATATATATATATTCGAATGATCAAACAAAATATGTTAAAAATAAGGAAAAATGGCAAAGTAATTCCAAGTGTATCCAATTTTTAAACAAATTTTCAACGAACAATGCAGAGTTTGGTGCAGTCGGCCCAAAGCTGCTGTCTGCATTGGAATCATAAAAGGCCGTAGGAGCGTTTGTTTCTTGGTTGCGTAATAGCATATGACACATACGAGACGTCTTTAATATTATATTTCGAAACCGGTATCGGTTGAACAGAAAGAAGACGTCTCATGCCATGCCAACGGCATGCTAATCAGGGGTCGAACCCTCGATCCCGCGGGGCCATAAGCTGACAAAGTCCGAACATCCCCTCGGATGTTCGAACCTCCTCGTATTCATGCGCTCACCCCTGCCACTACCCACTGGTAGTAGCAAGGGCGGATGCAAGAGGTCGGGAGAGTGGAGAGAATGTCCACCCACCCGTGTCCCCGCAGGGGCCGACGGTGCCCTCTTTGGTCTCCGAGGAGCCCTAAACCGGCCGCACAGGTGCAGGTTTTCAGCATGAAACGCCAACAGCTTGGAAAACTTCGGGCATCCAAGCGACCAGGTAGGGCTGTAAGCAAAGATGAAGTGCCCTAAAACTCTTCCCCGCAAAAAAGCTGTGGGTCTCTTACTTTGGTCTGGGTTCTTCCCATTCCTAAGAGGGTCATGTTGTCGAGCACCATCTATTGTCTTGGGGGTTCGATCACATTGGTCTGGGGTTCCCCCTTTCCGAGGAGTCGACGCTATTGACCGCAGCGCTGCTGCTGCTGCCCTGAAGTATGTATTCATCTTCGGAACGGATTAGCAGTCAGATACAGTAGCGCGAATGACCGCAGCTCCAGCATGACGTCAATGCTGACGTGCAGAGGTGAAGAAGCGTTCCTCTTAAGCTTAAGTAACGACATTCCGGTCGTTACGGCAGGTCTCCCACCAGCTCTTGAGTGCCAAAATGGCATGCTTAAGCGTCCTTTCAAATCTACGGCTCAGAACTATGACCAACACGGCTAATGAATGCATAGCAAAAGATTCACGTGTCACACACCACCCAGCATCGCAACATATGCATAGAGTCGGAGTTGGTGTGACTTCACCGACTCGTCCTGCGGCCGACTCAGACTTCCACATCCCGAATGTTCAGAGTAGAAGCAGCTAGTTCAGTCTTGATCCAGTCGGACTGGCTCACGCTAACATAACACGCGAATGTACCATTTACTACTACCAATGCGAGCTGGAGCAGTCTCCTATATCTGCATTCAAGGTGATTCTCGATGTGGGCGACGATGTAAAACCTTATCGTCAGTGGATTATGCTTGTTCGTGATTTCGAAGCTGATTTAGATATGCCATTTGAAGTGATTTGATGACACAATATCAGATGCGCTGTTGGTCTTGATATATTTCGATGCTAACGCAGTGCCTACTGTAAATGGGACAGTTCATGGCGCTGTAACTACTAACATGTTCAGTTCCCATCTGGAGATCAGCGGTAAGACTTACGGTCAGAGCACGCCAGAGCGAGGCACAGTGCACCGCAAGAACGCCAGAGGGCGGAAGCTGGCTGCTGCCAAAGGCTGAATGCGATCATCTAACGTCGCATGTCCGTACCTAAGCAGCAGAGACGTGTCGCCGAAACTGCGGTGTCAACCCAGGTCACGGATTTATGATGTCGCAAATATCGCTAGCTTTCTGGGTAGCCGCAAACTAGCGCATTATGACC